TGGTGACCAAAACTGGATGCAGTACTCTAGGTATGGCCTTACTAGGGCTTTATAGGGTGGTATTAATACCTCCCTTGATCTTGATTGTATCCCTCTGTTAATGCAATTTAGGATTGCAATGGCTTTTTTGGCTGCCTCCTGCACACTGCTGGCTGATATTTAAATATGATTTAAATCTTTAAAACATATTTAAATACGGACATCTTCTGTCCAGAACACACTATTCATACTTCCAGACAGACAATTCCCCCCCCACCCCAAATGAATCTCAGCACACACACCTCTCTCGGCCGGACAAAAGGTTGGGGGCTGCAGCTGAGCATGTGAGGCTCTGAAGAGGGGAGAAGGAGCAGAGAGGCTGGGACAGAGCTCCACCCTCTTCTCATGCTCCCTGCAGCCACCGGGAGCCAAGACTTTTTGGCAAAGAACCGTGTTTATCACCACAGGTGTCAAATAGCGAGGCTGGGAACATCCCGAACCAAAGGGCTCCCTGCGGCAGACTTGATAATCCCGGGATCCTTCGGCACTGGCACATGGCCTTGGCTGTGTCCGGCTTGCACCCGAGAACATGCACCATGCACTCTTTCACACTGCCAAACTCTGTGAACTCACAACCCGGCCCGTCTTGGAGGAGGAGATGCCTTGGCACACGGCCCGGAGTTTGATTGACGGTGCAACATGTCCAGGCTGCTGGGGCGGGGCGGGGGGAAACCAGTTGCATATCAGGGAGGAAATGGGACTGCAGGACCACACTGTTCTGGCTTCCCAAGAGCACGAAGCAAACTCCTTGTCCTGACAAAAAACTCTTTTTATTCATTTCCTGTGAATTCTGCTCATTCACATCCAGCAAATTCTTTCCAGGAAGGATTTACAGTCAGAGACCTCATCTGGCTTGGAGAGCTGCCAGGCCCATATCTGCAGAACTTGGCAAGGAGTCTCGGAGAATCAGGAACCAATGAAGAGAATTAATGGTCTCCTGCAAACTCCACTCCCCTTTCGCTCCTCTTTTATGTCCTCTGGGAGGCGCCATTCATCGTCCACCTGTGGCCTTCCTCTCAAGTCAACCCCTGTTCTTTAGCTGCTCCCTTCGTCTAGCAACTCTGCGCATGTGCACACTGGGAACAGGCTCCAGCTGTTCTTCTGCCCCACTGATCTCCGGCTCCAAAGGCAGCTGATAACTGNTTTTTACCTTGATTCCTTAACCACTAGACCAAACTGGCTACCAGGAGAACTCCAGAATTAAAGTACAGACCCACTAATCATCATGTGAATTAAGAAGAGAGGAAGTAGATCCACCTCAAGTCTTGTCTACGACTAATGCCTGAGCTCATTTTAACCATTCTTGAGAGCCAAATGGTTAACTACTATTTCAGCTGTATACTCTAACTTTAAAGCCTGGAGAAAATTTGTTATGTACAAGTCTTTTCAAGCAAAATAACATCTACTTACAATTGTGAAATTCATAACTTTGAGAATCCAGATGGTCATGGCAAGATTCACCAGGATTAAAATCATTAGAAGTAGCACAAAGAAATAGAGGCACCTCTTCCGCCAACCATAAATCCCCACTTTGTATACATGTGGTCCTTCTGAGCTCTGCATGGTGCTTCTCTGGGCATACTGTTCCTGAGGCATCTGGAAAAGAAAATACAACCAGATGTCATAGGCACAAACTGTAGACATGTTGAGACTATATATTCCTTTATTTAAATGATTTAAATGGCTGCCCATCTCACATGAAGCAGTATACTAGGATAAAACAATAAGCAAACCACAAATTTCTAGGTGACCAAGGTTAATACTATGATCCTAATCGCAGAGGTGAAAGGGTAACAAGGCTCAAGACAATCCAGATGTATGGGAGAATGCTATTTGGTTGCAGGCACAGTTTGTAGGTCCAACAAGATGGTACCTGGCATATGTCCTGTCCAAGATCAGGGTTAGATCAGAAACAATGGAAGTCCTGAAAATAGCCTCTTAGCAAGTGAATATAAAATAAAGCATTTTGGAAATACCTGTGTAGGTAAGATACCTTTTTTTGGCCTTGTGACTGTTATGTAAACACAGATGCTTCATTACTGAGCTGCCGAAGCCTAATTTTAAAAAATGTAGGAGGAAAAAAACATTTATTGTCAAAATAGTGTTATTTATGGTATGTTTACATTCTCCTTTCTTACTTATTTCTTTTTTGCTAAAATGCAGGGGGAAAAAATCTAAAGAGGTGATGTGGAATAATTTAATTTGGTCTATATTGATAAAATGAATCAACCTAATTCACACTTTCCAGAATAATAAAAAAAGGACTTATATGCAATCATTACTCAGATTTCATCACTCTCTGGATTTTGCAATTACATTTTTGCTAATACAAAAAATATTTTTAAAGGAAAATATATGTTAAAGGATATTTTGTATACCATGGAAAATAATGTGGAAATGTTCAAGTCAGTTGTTTGACAATTTTTAATTTTTAATTTGTGTACTGGCCTAGAAATCGAGGAGCATGGATTTATGAATAAATATATATATGAGATTGATACTAAACAATGAAAAAAGAGGTTGATCTAGTTGTATTTGAGTCAGAAGCAAACCAGGAAACAAAAGGACTGTAGTAAGGGCTCAAACTGGATGAAACCTTACGTGAAAATTGAACAGATTGACCCCTATCCTGAGGTCATACATCCATTGACTCACAAAGGCAAGAAGACTTTAAAGTTTGAGTAGACATATGTGAAGAGCTTGATTTCTATGTTTTGAGTGAGAGGGAGACACACTTTCTGTGCAAGTCATGAACACTATAAGCCTACAATAAAGCATAATCTAGTCATGTCTTCCCTCCTAAATTCTGCTGTAATCAGATTGCTAAATGTCTGGGCAGTCAAGATTTATAGCTGAACCTACTAGGAAGTCTGACCAGGGCTCTGGATTAGACTGGGAAGCAAAGTAAACAAATGTGAAACTTCTCTATGATAGCTTTATGAAGAAACACTGCAGATGCTATTTCTAGTTCTCCTAGAATTGCCCTCTTAAGTCTTTTGTTTCAATAACTTTACTATATATGGTTGTATTACAAATGATAAAATGAATAATCATTATTTAAAAAGAAACAAAAAGGAAAAATATCAAAATGTTCAAACATCTAGAATTTGTACAATATGTTTGCTTATTTTCCCCTTTTATATTGCTCCCAAGCTATTAAGTTCACTCAGAATGTTGCTCAGTATTTACTCTTTCCTCCTTCAGGGAAGAACTCACATTCTTCTTTACTACCTAGGCCTGCTAAGCTTGAGTTAGTTTTAACATTGGTTTTAAGGTTTTCTTTTTCTTTTTAAATTATTTCCAGTTTTCTTAACTACCACATAGGCAGAAATCCTAAATGCATATAAGTTGATGTTGACTGCTGGTGATGGCCTCGACTGATCTGGACTGCCTGGATTTGCAGGTTTTCTTGGCAAGGTTTTTTGGAAGTGGTTTGGCAGTGCCTCCTTCTTTTGAGAGCTGGCTGAAAGAGACTAACTGGCTGAAGTTCCCTCACCTGGCAATGATACAATTGGACAGATACCGTTGGATGGAGAGATATGTCTGATTTTATGTTTTTGTGTGTCCACAGAAGTGTGGGAGGACAGGTTAAGAGAGCTCCCAGTGACCTTATCAAGATCTTTCATTAAAAAGAATAAGAATGGATGAAAACTAAAGATGGACCTGTCCTCCCATACTTTTATGGACTACCCAAAACACACAATCTATACATGCCTCTCTGTTCAATTGTATCATTACCAGGAACCTCCAACCTACAAAAGTGCTAAAGAGTTGGCAAAAAAGCTTGAACAACTCATAGAGGGAAAAAAATATTCCATCAACTCCCCCCCCCCAATAGAGCCTTCAAAGAATCAAAGACGTGACAATAAATGAACTGTGATCTTATTTAATGTCACAGCACTCTTTACATCTATAGTCCTAGAATTAACCAAACAGGATCCAATCCGTGTTGGTCACTGGGACCACATATTTATTCTTCCAAGNGAAATAGAAGATGATTATCAGCAGCAAGGATGCCTGTTCAGAAGACCTGATGAACCAGATCAGAAACAGATTATCTTGGAAAAAATCCATGTACTCACTAAGAATTGACACTTACTTGATGACACATAGTCATTATCATGAATTATGTATTGTTAGCATATGGAATTCTGTTCCAAGGGAACACAATTTAACATTTATTGATATGCCTTTAGGCTTTCTATAGTACTACAGTCACATTTTTCAAAGCACTGGGCATGTTGTCATTAGGATAATATTTAATAACTAAAAGGGAAAATAACTTTCTTTTTAAAGGCATATATTAAGGGCCTCCTTGCTGGATTATACACATAGTTCATAGTTCATTCTGTCAAATGTTTGCCTTGTTACAGTGACCAGTTCCTAAGAAATGTCCTCCCAGGAATTAATATATTCAGATGTATCATGCCTGCAAACCTGGGGACTTATTAAAACCTGTAGCTGAATCCTGCTATAAGATTCAACTTCCACAAACTTGTTTTAATTCTGTTTTAAAGCTTTTTAAAACAGTGACTACAAATGTCCTTTGTGGTCCTGTGGGAGTTCCATGAAGAATAGTATCTTTAGGGTGTTCCAAAGCTATTGCTAGTAAGTTTTACTTGGTGAGAATGCATTATTTGATTGAAGTATTCAAATGAAAAATATAAGGTATATGCTAGCTATATTACAAAAGAATCATAGAAAGGAAAGACTGTCAAGCTGTGTGTGTTTGAGAGAGATCAATATAATCCTATTTAAGATGGAAGCCATCATCATTCTTCTTACAGATCTACACTGTGAAGTCAAGGCTAATGGGGGTCTAGAAAAGTTGTTGATATTGGTCTTGAGTTGAACTGTTTTTATTTACAATTACATTCTGAAAGAGTGGGTGTGTTCCAGGTAGCTTCTGCTAAAAGGTACCTTCTGTTAAAAGTTGTCATCTTTCAGGACTTATGAAGCATTCCTTTTCTTTCTTACTGCCCCCTGAAACATGTTCCTCCGATACAAATGGTGGCCTCTCTCAAGAGATTCC